ACATGGTGATTGTACAACTATTAGATTGTATGTAGTAACTTGGCCAAGTCATCTTAGCAAACATGATGACTGTCGAACTATTAGACTGTATGTAGTAACTTGACCAAGTCATCTTAGCAAACATGGTGATTGTCCAACTATTAGATTGTATGTAGTAACTCGACCAAGTCATCTTAGCAAACATGGTGATTGTCCAACTATTAGATTGTACGTAGTAACTCAACCAAGTCATCTTAGCAAACATGGTGATTGTCCAACTATTAGATTGTATGTAGTAACTTGGCCAAGTCATCTTAGCAAACATGATGACTGTCGAACTATTAGACTGTATGTAGTAACTCGACCAAGTCATCTTAGCAAACATGGTGATTGTCCAACTATTAGATTGTATGTAGTAACTCGACCAAGTCATCTTAGCTAACTACAGATTCCACAAAGAAAGTTTTCTCACTTGACTCTTTCAGGTGGGTCTCCAAGAGTCTGTTGCAACTTTGTCCAGTCTGGATAAAAATTTGCTGAAGGAGCAACAATTTCTAACAGTCCAGTTTCTATGTGCTCTTGGAAACTGTGAACAATACAATAATTATCACAAAATTATTACAAAACGTACAGTAGCTAAGATGTAAAAAAAACACGTTAGCTATTATCTTTGGAACAATGAACAAGTAGTTTGTAAACCAATAAATATTTTGAGCTATTGGATAATTTCAATGCCATCATATACTTTGACTGTAAATAAGATTTTATAAACTGTAACAAGACAACTCTGCAATAGGTTACATTTTGTTAAACTTCCATATAAAAATCACCATACATTTAAAACATGCAAGTACAGTCATACATACTGTGTTTCAATTTCAACAGCTTGTCTTGTTATAAAGTCTTTATCAGTCTGAAATGAAAAAAGAAGACAAAAGGTCTTAAAAAATGTCTCTCAAAAAACAAATTAGAACACATATTTCTGTAACAGACAGAAAATACAACTAATTTCTAATAAAAGTCAAAACCTGGGAACTTCTCTGACAACATGACAATTGAAAGGAACACAAAACAAATTCAAGTTTGACAATCTTACAGCCAAAATTTCCAGTTACTAAGTTTCTCCATAATCACATGCTAAGAACATAACAGACGTTACTCTCTCACGGTCATAAACTGGGAAAACCACAGCTTCTTAATACCTGATGCACAACTCAGAAATATTTTAAAGAGAAATTATGTCCATATCAAAATACATTGGAGAAATTATAGTTTCTTAAACTCATAAATAATGTAAGACCTAAAAAAACCTAGTGAGAACTTCAATTCTAGATGTTGCAATGAAATGACCTCAAAACAATAAAGACTAAGAGTTTTATAATAGCAGATCTAGCCTCAAAATCTTGACTAATTGCTTTATAAGAACAGGAATAGACTCACATTTACATTACTGGTTATGAAAGTAAGATTTATTTTCTGTTATTCAAGGAATAACAGCTTCAAAATGCAAACAATGCATCCATAAGGTTTGTCATTATTATTGCAAACACAAAAATAACAAATATTAATGTACATTTTTGTGTTTAAATCAAGCATGAATTATACATGTGTTGTGGCAACAAGCATTGTTCTACATTAGCTTTTAGATCAATAATCTCTGCTGTGACTCCAAGTGTACATTAATATTTGTTATTTTTGTGTTTAAATCAAGCATGAATTATACCTGCATTGTGGCAACAAGCATTGTTCTACATTAGCTTTTACATCAATAATCTCTGCTGTGACTCCAAGTGTACATTAATATTTGTTATTTTTGTTTAAATCAAGCATGAATTATACATGTGTTGTGGCAACAAGCATTGTTCTACATTAGCTTGCAGATCAATAATCTCTGCTGTGACTCCAAGTGTACATTAATATATGTTATTTTTGTGTTTGAATCAAGCATGAATTATGCATGTGTTGTGGCAACAAGCATTGTTCTACATTAGCTTGCAGATCAATAATCTCTGCTGTGACTCCAAGTTAACAAATATTAATG